GGGCCCTGCTGCGGCGCAGGTGTGAGTGGGGATGGGGATGACTGGGGATGGGGGTGGGAACAGGGACGGGGATGGGGATGGATGGGGATGGATGGGGATGGGGACAGCAGGACCTGTGAGTGGGGACAGGGACAACTTGGAATGGGGATGGGGATGGGGACAACTGGGGATGGGGATGGGGACGGGAACAGGGAGGGGAACAGGGACGGGGACGGGGATGGGGATGGACAGGGATGGGGACAGCAGGACCTGTGAGCGGGGACGGGGAAAACCAGGGATAGGAAAAAAGGGGATGGGATGGGGATGGGGACAGGGATGGGAATGGGGATGGGGATGGAAACAGCAGGACCTGTGAGCGGGGATAGGGACGCCCAGGGATGGTGATGGGGATAGGGATAGGGATTGGGATGGGAACAGCGGGGCCTGTGAGTGGGGATGGGGACAACCAGGGATGGGCACAAGAACGGGGATGGACAGGAATGGGGATGGGAATGGGGACAGGGATGGGGATGGGGATTTGGGACAGATGGGCCTGTGAACAGGGACAGGGACAACTGGAGATGGGGATGTGGATGGGGATGGACAGGGATGGATACAGCAGGACCTGTGAGTGGGGGGATGAGGAAAACCAGGGATGGGGATGGGAACAGGGATGGGGATGAGGATTGGGATGGGAACAGCTGGGCCTGTGAGTGGGAATGGGGACAGCCAGGGATGGGCAGAGGGATGGGGATGGGGATTTGGGACAGATGGGCCTGTGAGCAGGGACAGGGACAACTGGAGATGGGGATGGGGATGGGGATGGACAGGGACAGAGACAGCAGGACCTGTGAGTGGGGCACAGGGGTCAGGGATGGGGATAGGGATGAGGATGGGGACAGATGTGGATGGGGACAGCAGGACCTGTGAGTAAGGGACAGGGATGGGGATGGGGATGGACGGGGATGAGGATGGATGGGGATGGGGATGGATGGGGATGGAGACAGCAGGGTCTGTGAGTAGGGACAGGAGAGACAGGGACTGGGACAGATGTGGATGGGGACAGCAGGACCTGTGAGTGAGGGACAGGGATGGGAATGGGGATGGATGGGGATGGACAGGGCAGGCGTGGGGGCAACCAGGGCTGGGGACAGGTGAGGATGGGGACAGCAAGGGCTGGGCTGGGGACAGCTGGTGGCAGGGCCTGGTGGAGCTGGGGACAACTGGGACTGGAGCCAACTGGGACTGGGTTAGGGACGGAGGAACCGGGGCTGGGGACAACCAGGGCTGGGGACAACCAGGGCTGGGGACAGCCCATGCCAGGAACTGGTGGGACTGGGGACAATGGGGGCTGGACTGGGGACAGCTGAGACTGGGGACAACCAAGACTGGGGACAGCCGTGTCTGGGCGTGGGGACGCTCCTGTCCCCATCCCATGTCCCTGCCAGGACATCATGGCCTTGGGTCCCCAGGGTGGGGATGCTGTGGGGGCAAGCAGCCAGGCTCTGTCCCCTTGTCCCCTTGTCCCCTTGTCCCCCTGGGCCGTGCCGCTGACCCGCTGTGTCACAGGCGAGGACAAGGACTACACCATCTGGCTGGCGCACTCCAGTGATCCCAGTGACCCCAGTGACGGCTGCATACTGGGCTACAAGGAGCAGTACCGCCGCCTGCGCAAGGCCTCGGTGTGCCAGAACGGCCGCGACTACACCGTGACCGCACAGCCGTCCGTCTGTCCCTGCACGCTGCAGGACTTCCTCTGGTACCGCCTGTCCCCGACCCGGCGTCACCCGGCTTGTGCTGTGTCCCCGAGCGGGGTCTCACCCCCTTTTTTTGTCTCTTTTTTAAGCGATTTTGGGTACTACCGGCCCGAGAACCAGTCGGTGTG